GGAAGTGGGTGGTGCGTAGGATACAATTGTAGATATATGTAAGGAATATGACTGCTTTGGATGGAAGTTGTCGAAGGATTTGAGGTGTAAGGAGATCATGTCCAGGAGCTTTACGGGGGATTAGTTTTTTTAATTGAAATTTTACTTCGGAAGGATGAATAGCTTTTGGGGGCAAGGAAAGTGGGATTGGTGATGTAAGGAGTTCTTCTACTGTTACGGTGTGGGCAGGATGGGATTCCGGATGTGAAATAAATGTATTGGATAGGTGAATGGCGAACTCCTCAGCTTTATCTTCGTCAGATGCTGCCCAGGAGCCATCACCTCGTCGGAGAGGATGGGAAATGCGGTGAGGATTTAGGATTTTTGTTGTGGTTTTCCAAAGGGAATTGTCGCGAGAAGAGAGGGAGGATAGGTAGGAGTTGAAGGATTGTGATCTGAAGGTGGCTAATTCCAGTTTTAATTGTTTGCAGTAGTAATTATAGGAGCAGCGGTCGGTAGGATGTCGGGTACGTTGCCATAATAATCTGGCACGGCGTTTGGTGCGGATTAGGTTAAGGAGGTGTTGGGGTAGAATGGTCTTTATAGGAATTCTGGAGGAGTCTTTTGGGAAGGAGGCAGTCCAGGCGGCTTGTTGGATTGTGGTAGTAAAGGAATTTACGGCACTATCAAGGTCATCGGGAGTTTTGAGGGATATGTTGAGATCAATATTATCGGAGATTATTTTGCGGAAAAGGTCCCAGTTTACTGGGCCCCTAATGAATGACGGCGGAGAAGGTTTGGGAACAGGTTCAAGTGAAACATTAAGGATTAGAGGACTATGGTCAGAGGAAAGTTCATTTAGACGTTTAATGGAACAATTGAGGGGACTTAAGCCGCTGTGGATAAAGAAATCAAGAAGATCAGGATTACGGTTGGGATCTGTGGGCCAGTAGGTAGGAGAGTTGGGGGAAAGGAGGTGAAAACGTTGGGAATTGAGTGCAGACAGCAGGGTTCGGCCACGAGAATTCGTGGTTCTGGAACCCCATTGTTGGTGCTTGGCATTTAGGTCTGCACCCAAGATGAAGTGATGTCCTAAGGAGTCGAGGAGAGAACTGAATTGGGCATTGGATATGGATCGGTTAGGAGGGCAATACGCTGATGCAAGAGTGACCGGAAAGCAGAAGGTTTTTATCACGATAGCGGTGGACTGTAGGAAATCATGTATTGGTAATGGGAGTACGTGATGGGAGAGGGATTGGTGTACAATTACAGCAGTACCGGCATGTGCTTTTCCGTCAGGGTGGTCAGTACGATATGTCAGGTATTGTGGTATATTGAAGTGCTGTTTAGTGGTTAGTCGAGTTTCAGTAATTAGTGCCACATCAATGTTCTTGTCAAGTAGTAAAGTAGATAGTTCGTCTGTATGATTTCTAACACCATTCGCATTCCAAAGGAGAATGGATATGGGTTTAGGGATGTGAGTCATTTAAGGATTTTTCAAAGGAGGGATGAGGTGAGATACGAGATTCGTGAGGAGTGATATGAGTGGAGTAACAAGGGATTTGAAATCGGTGAGGAAAGATGCTAACAAACTTGTGAGATCTGTTGCATTTGAGGGAGGAGGAATATGAGGAATTTGTTGTTGGTGGTTAGGTATATTAGGATGAAGAGGATTTTGAGGTTGGGTTTGAGGTTGTTGTGGCAGGGCTTGACATTTATCGGTTAAAGTCTTACCTCTAAGTAGTTGGGAGAATGATACATCATTGTTTACAATTCTGGAAGGCTCTCTCTCTCTTCTTGTTCTTAGTGCTTCATCTTGAATCCGGTTTTTCTGGTGTCTGGTTTTGAGATTCTTGTAAATTTGGCAGCCTTTGTAGTTGGCCGGGTGTCCCTCCAAGCATAGGGCACATACTGCTGGATCTTGTATAGGTTTGGTGCACTCTACAGATTTGTGCTGTTCACCGCACTTCACGCAACGCGGCAGATGGTGGCAATATGTCTTCGTGTGGCCATAAGTCTGACAATTATGGCACTGCACGATGTCTCTCTTGGGATCCAAGTATACTTTAAATTAAATTTTAAACAAAATTGTTAATAACTTTAAAGAAATGTATATGACTGATTCAATAAAGAACCTTCAATGTATTAGTAATATAAATATGCTCTAAGCTTAAAAGTTAAGTGAAATACACGACAATATGAAAATCAAGGGGTATTGGGTGCTTGTAAATAGAACGAGATCGGCAAAAGTTCTCATTTAGTTTAAATATAAAATTCTTTCTTAGTTTGTATTTAAACATTTTTTTTATTCCAGGTTATGATGTGAAGTGGTTAATTATTTTAAATAAATAAATGAGAGATACTAAAGAGGAAGGAACTTTGAAAATTTGTCACCTAAGCCATGTAAGGCCGCATATATGAAGGTAAAATATATCTTAAATTGGAAAGCACTTAACAATACATTAACCTGATGAGTATAATCAAAATCGTAAGAGTTATTGTCAATAAAATCGTAAACATGTGTAAAATCAAAGATATAAAAAGGCCTAAGGTATAAATATACCTTAAACAGGTAAATTCAGTTTCTTACTACTTTTCATTTTTGAGTTAGGCTGTTCAGACATACACGTGGCTCAAAGCGAGTATTTCCATTGAAAACTCGGACTCAGTTTTTCAGGATCGCAATACTTTCCTTATTACATATTTCATATACAGGGAAATAAAAATAAACAAAAATAAAAAAATAAATAAAAAGTATTGCTTATATCCTGATATAAAATATATGATTATTCAACAATAAATGAAAAAAATATACGAAATAAAAAAAAATTTACACTAGTGACATAGAAATATTTATCCTCGTTCAAATCTAGTATTTATCATTTTCACGATCGTATTACTTTACCTTTCTACATATTCTATTCATGGGTAAGTGAAAGTATTGAGAATAAATGCTTAGATGAATATTTGTATAAAATTAAATAAACATTTATCCTTTAAATGTATGAGGAGTGAAATTCAATTAATAAAGTAAATTTCATTAAATGAACAAAAATAAAAATGTATGAGGAAGATTTATTGAGAACAGTGGGAAACAAAAGATATTTAGGGAAGAAACTTTTAGCTTGTATAAATAGACAATGTAGATAGGTAAGGGATTCCAATACGAATTTCCAGGGATAAATGATAAAATAATTATTAAAAGGAATATTACTATGAGGAGGGATTTATAAATCGAGAAGTTGAAACTTTGTATTTAGGTGAATCAAGTGAGACATTTTCAAATTGGACATGTGACCTTCCAAAAAGGTCGGATAATTCAAATTTCTTTTTTATATTGTTAGATATGTAGTGAATTTAAAAATCCAAGTTTCCGCTCTAGAAAGCCTGTTTGTACTGTACAATTCCGCCATTGTGGGTTCGCTGCAGTGCTCCAAAAACCATTGAAATTTCGAATCTTTTTTGGTTTAAGCTAAACATCTTCGTTTTAGACGGACATAGATAAAAAATGGTTATATTCAATCGTAAGTAGCTTAGAATTATTAAACATTTTTTTACATAACCTTTTTTTTCTAAACCCAATAGGAAGCGCACTGTCGAAAATTTACCCATTTCTTCACAATAGTTCTTTTTCGGTTTTGAACAGAAGGATTCTGTAACTCCATTTTAGACCTCGTCTAGCCATTGAAACGGTAGAAGGAAGTCAGGAAGTTTTTTGAAAAGTATGTTAAACGATGAGCCTGACCTCGTGTACCCTCATCCCCCACATCCAAATAAATTGCATACGGTTTTGTTCCTTATAACTATTTATTAGAAAAAAACCAATGTTCCAACAAAAGTTGCCTCGCATTCACAAAATGGTGTCCGATCATGGCTGATTGATGTCTTTGATTTAAGTCAGCTTTTCGGTCACTGAGATTTAGAATTTGGCTTAATTTCGTCGCATTAAGTCTTTTATTAAATCTGGACAGTAAGAGAATTATAAAACATTAAAAAATAATTGGCCTTAGCAATAAAAAAAAAGTCGTTCAAAATAAAATTTTTTAAAAATTATTTTATTGAAATTTACCTATAAACATACATACAACCAGTAAATTTGTTATAGGAATATATAACCTGAAGGTACTTGTGAAGAAGCTAACCATTAGTAACCCTTCAAAGATAAATTAATTTAGGAGACCCCTTGGCCATCTTTTTTTCAGACGACTCGGAGGGTTGTCAGGAATTGTGTTGGATGAAAGGTTACAAACTAGAGACCAAAGAATTTAAGTCTAGTATGAGGATTAGTAGAGAATTTCAGGTAGGCGTTTGTCAAGAAGGAGTCCTAGGTAACGGACCTGTTCGACAGGGATCAGTGGAATATTGTTAAAGGATACGGTGGGACAGGATGTTGTAGGATAGCTAAAAACATAAAAAAGAAATTTCAGTTACTTGACCTTTGGTAAGGTAGACCTCTTTTTTGAGCTAATTTAACTGGGCTAGAGGACTAAAGGATTGGCTGATCCTCGGGGAATGGGGCATTCTAGCTGAAGCCACCCAAAACAGATTTTTTTTTTTAATGCATGGTATACTTTCTGTAAGCGGGTGTCAGGATAATTTATCGCTGACAGCATTATCTTCCTGTAAATATATATACATATATTTTAGCGTGCGTTTACGGAACATTTAAACATGGTTTATTTATATTTGTTCTTTTTTTTCCAGAGTAATAACAATTAAAAAAAATAAAATAAAAAGCCCTCCAAATTTAAATTCTAGGTCTACTATTGGTGCCAAGAAAGTATTTATATCGAAATTTAGATTAGTGCCAAGCTTAGTGAGTGATGTGAGAGTGGCTAGGTACAAATCATTTTTAGAACATTACTAAGAGCTTCCGAGAAAACCTAATAATAGCCAATTATTAATTTATTGGTATGAAAAATAAGCACATTTTATAATAGCTAATGGCACAAGTGTTTTCATGCAAATATTATTTCTAAGGATGGCCTCACTTTAAAATATCCGCAGTGCATCAGAGAGATAGGAGACAGACTTCATATTTCAAGTGAGTAATTTCCTCCTTATCACATGTTAGAATATAATTATACATTTTTACTTTAGTTTTAATTTTAAGTTTATTATTTTAATAAACCAGTCTATCAAGTTCTTCCTGCCACGTATTTATTTGACCGCACCCCCTCGATCAACTTCTTCTCATTTTATTTTTAATTACTAAAAAATATATTGCACATCCAGTAAATTATATCGAATGCATTAATCATAAAACATATAACAAAGTCTATTATTAATATTATTATTATTTAATGGCACTACAAATCATGAGGAGTCAGGGTCTCCTGTAATGATTTCCGCCAGCGCAGCTTTGGGCGTCGAAGTCTTCTTTTGGCATCGAAGCATTCGAAAGATCGATCTTCTCATCCAGGATCTTTCCTGGATTCACATTTTAGCCACATGACCAGTCCACCGGAGCAGTTACATCTTTATAAAACGGATGATGTCCTTATCATTGTACATGGTCATTATTTCTTAGTTTGTTCGTCTTCTCCAGATGGGCCCCTTATATATTGGTCCTCCAAAATCCTTCTGAGCACCTTCCTTTCGAAGCGGCGCAAGTCTTCCTAAAATGCCTTGGTCAGTTTCCACGCCTCAGCACCATAGGTGAGAACAGGCCTTTTTGTGAAGGGATTTTGTACAGTCGGAGCTTTGTTCTTTGGGAGATTACCTTGCATTTAAGCTGTGGTATTAGTCCAAAGTAACATCTGTTAGCTGCCTGTATTCTGCGTTTCATTTCAGACCCCACTGCATTGTGGCTTGTAACTAATGATCTCAGGTATATAAATTGGTTCACATATAAATGATTCTCTTGAGCATTAAAACAGGCACGTCATCTTTCTTCAACATGAGCATTACCAGAACGTTTTGTTGAAACGTGGAGGCAAAGATAGACTTATTTGGCAATCTTCTTTTCGGAAATCGCCAGGCATATTCAAGACGGTAAAGCTAATTACTGTTGTGAAAACCGTATACAAACACCATATCGGCATATTCACCATTACTATAAATGGAAGGCATAATCATGAGTACTCTGCGAAAGCCTCTTACAAACTGATAAATGTTATTGAGAGTTCCCAATTCTGATTTCAAATAGTATAAATTATTATTAAGGAAGGAGATGGTCCGGAGGGGCGGTCATATATAGATTAAATAGATGCAAAACTATTAAAAGCCAACGTTTCGACACGGCTTTGCAGGTCTTCTTCAGGAAGGTGTGTTCAGCAAGGAAGGAAACTTCTTCCTATTTAGACTATTTATGACCGCCATCCCTGACCAAAATAATACAACGGTCAACTATTTATTCAATATTCATTCTTATATTACCAACAGTTTTTATACAATTAGATATAAAAGATCATATTAGTATTCTATATAATTCATCTCCTAAACAAAGCGTTTGCGAACATTTCCTTTACTTTGAACAGAAATTAATATGAATGTTAATGTTTAAATTTAATTAATAAAGTAGTCAGAACAAATAAATAGGTTTTATTTATTTCATATAACGTAAATAATTCATAACAACGAAAATCTTTAGGTGCTGATATCTCCTAAACAAAGCGTTTGCTGACATACCTTCAGAAGAATTTTTTTCTTGCTTTGAGGTTCTCAGTTCATTTTTGCAGTTTGGCCACTTAACCCTGAAACACCTTGTATAATTATTTTATAAGACTGGGTCTCTTGCAAAAAGTTAAGGCAACACGTACGTGGAAAGCAAGAAATATAGGTTCTCATACACATGCTAACTCTGAGTAGCTGTTATCCATAGATCTACCTGATGCAGTCGGTCGGAAGGAAACTTCTAGATTGGTCTCGAAGGGATCTGCTTTGGAGCTGATGATTGCCTGCCGCTGTACCATGGTCACCACGGTTCATAGCAATATGAGGTTGGGTAATCCTCTCCAGACTATCTGTGTTCCAGCAAATATATGACAGAAAGAAGATCCAGATCGCACGGCCTAAGACGTATATTGTCTATGAAACCCAAATTATTGTGTTCTAAGATTTCTAAAATGCATCCCTAAAATGAATTTAATGCATCCCCACCCCTTTCTTAAGAAGATCTATACTTACGATGTTCTATTTGCAAGAAATATAGGCAATGCTAAAGTAACAGAGCTGAAAGTGATTATTATGTGCATGCTATATGTTATTATATTATTGTTATTAATCATAGTTTATTGACAAAGTATACAATTTAATGCTGTTGATAGAAGATAGAAAAATAACTTTATTCTGGGACACAGTCCCTTGAGAATAAAAAAATAGGACAAAATTAAAATATTACATCTGGCCAAAATAAAATCAATCGAAAAAAAGAACTAATGTAAAAAAAATATAAGGTAAAAATTCTATTTACAAAACAAACTAAACTATATACACAACCATTAATACTATGACAAAACACTTAAAGCTATTTGCTCATATAGACCAGTATACACTTTTCCGAAAAAAATAAAGAATTAAAAAATAAAAATGTATCAAATTCTCTATTAAAATCCGCTCGAATGGTTAGCAAGTATCTGTCTGTTTTTGTGATAGGAATTGGAATAGGAGGGATTTGAATGTGGATATGGAGGGGGAATGTCGAATTTTGATAGAGAGGGAATTCCAGAAATTGACAGAGCGAACAATAAAGGAATTTTGGAATGAGGCAGATCTGTGAGAAGGCATGTAAAGGTCAGAAGGTCGAGATATTGTGGACAGGGAATGGACTGAGGATTTGAACTGGAGAAGGTTGTAGGCGTAAGAAGGACGATGGTTGTTGATGATTTGGTAGAGGAACGTACCTAGAAAATATTGTCTTCGGAAGGAGGGGAAGAGCCACCTTAACTCAGTGTACTGGTGAGAGACATGGGAGTACCTCGGGGCACCAATAATAAATCTTACGCAGCTATTCATTAATCTTTTCAGTCTATCACGGAGCTCCACCGAGAGGCCATCATACAACACACAGCTGTAGTCAAAGTGGGGGAAGATGAGAGAGGAAATTAGGAGTCTACGGATATGTTGAGGTAGGAGATGACGGAAGCGATGAAATAGTTTAAGGGTAGAAATTGTCCGACGGGAAATGTGAGAAATATGGTAGGTCCAGGAGAGGGTTTGATCTATGAAAAATCCTAAATTTTTAACAGAGGAGTAGAAGGAAATTGGCTGGTCATTAAGTTGTAATATGGGAAAGTCAGTATGGGATCTAATAAGGGGCTTGGAACCAATGACAATATCCTGAGTTTTGGCAGCATTTAACTTTAATCCATTTACATTTGCCTAGGCATTGATTCGATCAAGATCTTCTTGAATCTTGGCAAATGCCCCCAGTAACTCAGAGGGAGAAAAGGATAGGTAGATCTGGGAATCATCTGCATAAAGGTGATGGGAACAATGGATAATTGATTTAGATAGGTCGTTAATGTAGGAGCTGAAAAGGAGAAGAGATATGCTTGGACCCTGGGCAACTCCAGAGGATAAAGAAAGGAAAGCAGATAGTGGTTGGTTGGGTATGGCGACTGCTTGGGTGCGTTGGGAGAGGAAAGATTGGAACCAAGAGATGGAACTGTTGGAGAAAGGTAATGATTTTAGTTTGTTGAAGAGGATGGAATGGTTGATGGAATCGAAAGCTTTAGAGAAGTCTAGAAGAATAAGGGCAGTTAATTTTCTATCATCTATTGCAGATTGAATGTCGTTGGTAATTTTAATTAAGGCAGATTGTGTGGAATAGCCAGAAACCAGATTGGAGAGGATCAAATTGGCTGGACTTTTCGAGGAACTTGGAGACTTGGGATTGCACCAGTCTTTCAAGAGGCTTTGAGAGGTTAGAAAGAATTGAAATTGGACGGAAATCTTCGGGTGAGGATGGATTAGGCTTTTTATTTAAAGGAAGGACAATGCCTTTTTTCCAAGAGGTAGGGAATACTGAATTCTGAAGGGAGAAATTGTAGATAAAAAGGAGAGCTGGGAGGATTTCAGGTAGACATATTTTTATTAATTTGACAGGAATGCCGTCTGGCCCTGTGGAAATGGTGTGGGATTTCATTACCGCGGTTAACAGGTCTGTGGGAGAAATGTCGGAAAAATAAAAGTTATTGTCGTTAAAGGATATCTCTGGAGCAAAGCCAGAAGAGGAAGGTAGAGAAGAGGTATTAGCGACAGATATAAAATAAGAGTTTAAATCATCGGAGGATACAGGATAGGCTGCGATAGGGGATCTGGAAGGATTACCAATGGAAAGTTTACGAAGCAGTAGCCATTTCGATTTGATATCAGGAGCTGAGGAAAGGGTTTCATGGAAGTAGGATTGTTATTAATGTTATCCCTTCAGAATTAATCCCTAAGAGTAATTTAAATTCATTATGTAATTTTTGAGTGATACTTAAATATAATGTATTTAGGATGTGTACAGGTAGCTAGCTGTCTCTGGTCAGACTGCCAGACTGGCCAGACTGCTGTAGGCTGACTATTTAGATTATTTTCAATTACTGCATTAAATTGATTTTAAAAATAAATCCAGTAAATATGGCAACGTTTCTATCAGAAACAAGTAATGGTATTGAAGAAATAATTAAACAAAGGAATCAACTTTTTAAAAATTAAATTAGACAAAAACGACTCACTTACAAAATCTACAATCCTTTCAATCTAAAATTTTAAGACTAATAACTGCAGTTCCCTGGTATGTTAACAACATGACTTTACATACCGACCTAAGACAACCAACCATTGACCAGCACATACGTACTCTTTACTCCCGATTTCATCTAAAACTACACGGACATCACAATGGACTTCAACGACATGGCCACGGCTGAAATGCTCATCAGGAGGCGACTGAAAAGGAGCTGGATGAGAGATCTCCTTTCCTGATTTTAGGATGTAAACAGGCTAGGGAAGAGGTGCTGCTGGGCTCCATTCTTCGTCATGCCTATCATGTCATTTTCAACTTAACTGCAAATCTGCTAATTGTCACTACCATGACAGGTGCGGATGAAGATTTAAAGACAAAAAAAAATTGAGATGACAAAGGCAGTGTTGATATGTCTTAATCTTATAACATCGGATACTGTTACATGGGATAGAACAGAAACAAAGACTGTAGTGTAAAATTTTAATGAATTGCCTAAATCTGTCAAATGTCAGAAAATTGAACATAATTCTGGGTCTTTAACATATCAATATAAATGTAATTATAATGATATGTTTATTAGTAATTAATCCTGTAATTTCAAAGAGGAAACTTTTACTTAAAATAATTAAACTAATGACATTGAATGAAAATTAATAAAATTTAATAGGCAAATTTAGCTAAAAATAATGTAAGGGATAATCCCTAGTTCTGAGTAGGAGTAAAATTTTGTTTATAATTTCTTCTTGTCAATGGCATACCCACTAATATCTGCCTTCCCTCTAAAACATTTTAATAATTTTTTATAAATGCCTGTCCTGAAACAAAGATATTTTTGAAATTAATCGTAAAACCTATTACTACTTTTAAACTGTTTTTTTCATATTTCTAGATCGTATGACTTTTAAAAACAATCAAATCCTAATATCTTTTTTTCACATCTTCTCCCAATTATATGCATATGCAGTTTTCTTAAACGCTTTCGTAGGTATTATCTAATATTTAATTGTATATATAAGAGTATTTAAAGAAATAAAAAATGCCCAAAATGAAATGTAAATAAATATAGACTCTATAATTTTTACTTTCACTTTTCCTATATTTATTTCTGCTAGGAAGAGGGTGCTAAGTGAAAGTAGTGTGATGCACACACCAGAATTTTTTATTTAATTATGTATCCATCTGTGTTTGTAGTACTTAAATTAAACACTTGTTTTTATATTTACAGTTATGAAATAGTTTCTAATTTTCTAAATTCTTTCCTTTACTATTTTAACAATTATATTGTTTTCTATTTACAGATTTCGCTTATTTCGCATTGTGCGGAAAAATTTCCTGAAGATGGAATTCAGGTCAGTTTTCTTGCTTACTTTTATATTATATTGCTTCAGTGACAGCCCTGTATTAGGAGAAGACGCCTCCAATTGGATGAGTAATCACAATGATATCTTGGGCAGAAGATCGTTGAAGGAGATATGCATTCCAGGATCACACGATTCAGGAATGAGCACATTAACCAAAAGTACGGCTTTGGCTGATTCCTGTAATGTCTTAACGCAAAAGTTTCCGATTAAGGACCAGCTTCAGTTCGGCGCCAGGTACTTCGACGTACGTCCTGTCCTGGATAATGGCGAGTTCGTTACAGGACACTACATTAAGCTGGTTGGAAGTCACTATCAGGGAGGTAACGGACAGTCCATCAAGTCCATTCTGGATGAAATCAACAACTTCATCTCAACCCAAAACGAGCTTGTCCTCGTCCGGTTGTCGAAGAGTCTCAACACTCAAAAAAGTCGTCCTTTCGACAGCGATGAATGGGAAAGATTATTTCAAATGTTAGACAATACTAAGAACTTGTTCTCCACCCCCGATGAAACCATATGTTTGCCTGAAGTGACCCTAGATGAATTTACAAATAATGGTACAAAGGGAGCCGTACTCTACATAATCTACGAAACTGGAGTCCATTTAGGAGCAAGATTAGGCAACGGGTACTTCTACTATTCTAACCTCGATCCTTATAGCAAGTACAGCAATACCCATGATCTTAACGCCATGATGAACGATCAGATTCAAAAGATGAAGGATAACTCCAGAAAGAAGTATTTCTTGCTGTCTTGGACTCTCACCCAAGGATTCATGAACTCGGCGTTCTGCAAGTTGGGTATAGGAGGAAAGAGTATCGAAAAACTTTCAGAAGAAGCTAACAGAAAACTTAAGGCTATTGTTCCAAAAGTAAATTCTAATGCTTTTCCCAACATCTTATATGTTGACTATATTCAGGACTCCAGTGTTCTCGAAACAGTCATGGAAATAAACAATAGAATTGATCACCCGGCTCCAGTATCAAAGGGCACATTGTTTAAGAATGACCCACTGGTCTATATTGTACTGTTGATCAACTTATTTAGATACATACAAACCTTTTAATTTTTATCTACATCTATAAATTCATTTACATCATTAGACTATAAAAATAGTTAATTACGAATATCATGTACAGGTAAACATGTGTTTAATCTTTATTTTATTCTACACTTATTACACATGTGGTTGTTATTACTGTAATTGTATAGCTGAACTTTCATTATTAATATAACTGTATTGCAGAACTAAAATTATTTTATATTTATAATTTTTCCTCACTCCTTGTCCATTTAATATAGTAAAAACGTATTTAACACTTTAACCATTTAACAAAATAAACAAATGTAATTTATTTTTATTTGTTTGATCACATTTATATAAACGTTCGGGTATACTTTATCTCCTTCTTCAGCATCTAGAATTATATAAATAATAATTGTGAATTGATGATTTATATTAGTGAACATATTAGTGAGTTAGTGAATATGGCCACACCCTGAAGGGGTTTAAGTTTGTTAACTTGAACAAAGATTCCCAGGTAACGTGCAGGTATATGTAGTTCGTGGTATATGGTGTGAATGTGTTCATACATCACTATAATTATTGTCCACGAGATAGATTATTATATGTCTAAATAAGAAAAAATATATATATCAAACAGTAAATATCAACTGCTATGATGTACACTTAAACTGTATTCAGTGAATAATTGAAGAAATTCCGCCGAAAACTGAGAGACGAGTTCAGAACACAACCTTCGCATCAGCTGATCCACTGCCTTCTCCAGTTATATTATTGAAAAAAAAAAATCCTTCGGGCTGAAGCCCCCCAAAATTCAATCATGAATCCGCATGTGCTTTAAGGTTATACATTATCTCAATTAATAGGCGAAGTAATCAGTCTTTATAATTAGGAACATATAAGTTAGATACATTATAATTAGAAATTATAACAAGAATTACAGAATATATACGTTTTGGGACCGGGGATATTTCAAAATTAAAAATATAAACTCTTCCCCGGTGAGGTTCCTCAAAGGTGAGAAAATTCGAGTAAGATTAAAAAGGTGGAAAAGTGGAAAAACAAAAGGAGTGAAAATGAGACCTGTAGAACGTGAAAATAAAAAAAAAAACAAATGCATGCACAAGAAAATAATATTAAATAGAAATATTCAATAAATCAAAAAATGAAAAATCCCCTTCTAAATACTTACAATATTTATTGAGATAAAAGATTTATATAAAATTCAAAACAAACAAAGGAGAAGGATGAAAATTATTCAAATGCCCTGAAATAAAAGAAAACATAAAATATAATGTTCAGTGAAAATAAAAACAATTAAACATTATGAAAAAAAATAGTAAAATCCACTTCTAAAACTTTAATAAAACAAGAGAGAAACATGTCTGTGGTAACGGTGAGAAAACAGAACGAAAATATCCCAAATTGGAGGCTATATTTCCAAAGAGGTTACCTGATGTTCAGCTGTCAAAGCAGTCGATGGTGGGGGGATCGATATGCATATGGATCCTGATCGATGACTCGTGATGATAGAGCTGTTATAAAAAAATGGCGCAGGTGAGGTGAAGATCAGACGAGACGGTCTGGAGCTTGGTGAAAATGGTGGGGGTAGACGTCCACTACAAACGAAAGACAGCTCCAGACTGGCGACCCAGCAGTATTTATGTCTTAATATCTATGACAGGGTATTACTGCCGGGCTGGTATGTTAGATAAAAGACAATAGCCTTTGTAAATACAATTCTTTGAATATTGCTATATCCTTGGTTTCAGGCACATCTTTTTCCAATTAAGCACGCTGGCTTTGACCACTGAGTTATAGTATCCTGTGACCCTTGTCCGTGGGACTAGTTGGGCATCTTGACCATTTGGTATATTTATATGACGTGCATCCGCCCTGATTCTAAAAGCTGTCAATGTCACAAACCCGAATATCAGGCAGTTGTCCATCGGATTCCTTTTGAACTGTCAAGGCTTCCGCCCTTAGAGAAGTTTTATTACATTACTTCTGAATATCATTTGTCCAGTATCCCTACCGGCACCTACCCCTAATTGGTTCCTAGAAACCAAGATAACGCCCATCATCCCCTCTCCTACTCCGACCTAATCCTATCCCCACCCCAGAGTTGGGCTATATTACCGCCCTTAATATTAGAGAAATTCATTCCATTCCATCTGTAAATATTTCACTAGATGTAACTTATGTAACATTAGTTTAGGCCTCACAAGGCTAGTTTGTAAGAAGTTCACTAAGATCATGTCAATATAACTTTATATTTTACAATAAAAGTATATTTCAAAGTCTTCACTGTTGCACGAGTTCGTTAATTTGTATATTCAATACATAAGATAATACATCGCAAAATAAACCTAAATATATAAATACTATAAACTTATATACATTTTAGGGACAACATCTCTCGGCCTATTACAAAAAGAATAATAAACATTTATTCAATTATTATCATTTAAAAAGGGTTAATGGTGAGAAAAAATAAATAAAAATATGAGCGTATGCGGCGTTAACAATATGAATTAAGTTACAATAGGACTATTATTTATCTCTTTTCGTTTTGGAGATATCTCACTTGAAATAACTTACCACGGTAACTTTGATCCCCGCTCTCCCCTACTTTAAGTATATAAATAAATAGTCCTGGGCTGTTTACTGAAAACCGGAGCTGATATGCGACCCGTTGGCTCTTTGCCAATTTGAAGGGAGGAGAGGTAGAGGATAGAATATCTGTTCCTGGAGGGAAGGACTGGGAGGGTCGATAAATATCCGGGATGGGTTAGAGACCCTCCTAGTTAGCCCTATCTCCTAGGGCCACTCCTATAAAACAGACCCATCTTATTTCCTCCTTCAGCCCTTCTGCTCCTCTGATCCGTTCAGACCCTCAACTTCTTCCCTACCAGTCTATACCTATAGTATAAACAAAGTGATTCCTAATATCCGATGGAGTTGTGCCAAAATAATTTATTGAAGAAGAGATTGGTTGAGGTGATCAGTAAAAAAAAAAAAAAAAAATTAATAAATAAGTTATATTTATTTTTATTTTAGCCGACGTTTTCGCCCAAATTTCAAGGCTAAGAATAAACAGATAAAAATAGGTATGAGAAACTATTGACATAAAAAATAAAAAAAATAATATGCTGGTGCAAGGTATAGTTTAAAGGATGTAATTAGAATAAATTAAAATAAAAATAAATTAGGTAGAATAAACTTAAAGTAAAATAAAGTAGGTAGAAAAAACATACAGGAAATATAAGATAACGATAACAAAGTTAGGAGTAGAAAATATTAGAAGGAAATTATAATTATTTTAAATTTCCTTTATATTTATTCTATCTATTTTATATTACTTTAACTTTATTCTACCTAAATATTTTAGAATATACCCTTTACCTACATATTTTTTTCTTTTAAATGGTAATAATTTCCAATTTATATATTCCGAAAGAAAAATTAACTAATATTACCTATAAAGTACAATGAGAGGATTGTGAAAATAAAGCATATTACGGACAAACCTCACAATGGTTTGGACGTAGGATACAGCAACATAAACAAAATTGCAGGTCTAAAACGACAAAATCAAAATTAGCCACGGGGTTATCGCAACATACCACAAAAAATGGACATAAATTTTATTTCGGTACAGCTTCCGTGTTGCAAAGAGAACAGAATATTGGAAAACGAAGAATAATTGAATCCATTTTTATTACTGAAAACCTCAAACATTCGCTAAATCAACAGACAGATGTAGATAATAAACAAACTTAAATACATTTTATGCTAGCTCAATAGATAAAATTAAAATATAATATATTGATATAAAACATCTGATCCCCAACCCCTCAACCCCACTCCTTTTTTTAAATAAATCCAGTCCTGTATGAATGCCTTAGTGAGGAGCAACAATTTTCTTGATATCCTCTGCGAAAGAGGTACATAAATCGAGTATTAATAATATTCTTTTTAAAAATAATTTTAACAATCTATTTTAATTTATTATTTATGTATTCAAAGTTTTTAGAAATGGAAAAACGTCATTCTTTGAAATAAAAGAATGACTAAAGGACGAATCATATTGCAATGATAGATTTTAAAAATTTTATTGTGCGGTGCATGGGTAGGTGGATGATATAAATTTAATTTAAAATTTTTTTTATAAAATTAAAATATTTGGACTAGTTATATTACTGATAGTTGTTAAATAATATGTGTCTGATGAGGATGTATTTTAAGTTGTAAAAACTGAATTAAAAATAGTTTTGCAGGATCTTGAAAATGGCTTCTGAAGCCGAAACGTCGAATGAAGAATACAGGATATAAAAACTATGTATATTTGGTGACCTTTGGCCTAATATATATATATATATATATATATATATATATATATATATATATATATATATATAAGAAACTTATGAGAAAATGGCACCAAACCTGAAGGATGTGACTAGAAAATTAAATCCTATTGTTATCTGGTTGTTTCTTGGCCCTGATGAAGGCCTGAACTTTGAACCGAAATGTCGGCAAAAATAAAACTAAATACAACTTTTTTTTTTTTTCTTGACTGACCACCTCAAACAATCTTCTATTCAATTATTCACTACATTCAAAGATCAATCCACAAAATAATTTATGATCAATAACATTAATACGTCAAGTGAACGGTTCTTTCTTAATAATTTGTATTCATCTATTTATATTATAGTTTACAATTGGATTCTATTATTAATAGAGTACGTGACATAGCACTTGACTAACAAAACTCCACATATTGATCTCCACTTTCGAACAGTTGAGCAACATTTAATGACCTATTACTAACGATTTTATATTAATTTATAGGGACATAACAACAGAAGAGGAGGAGGCAAGGGATAATTGTAACATGAGGAGGAGGCAAGGGATAATTGTAACATGAGGAGGAGGCAAGGGATAATATATCGATAGGGATGGAACAATATCGATATTACCTATCGACCTAAAACTATCGATACCATCAAAATATCAGACTTGAAATATCGATAATAGATATTATAAACATTTTTGAAATATAAATATCGATTCTCTAGCACCTAACCCAGGATTCAGTGTCGTCACTCGGGTCCGAGAGCAAACTTGTGCCCCAAACTTGTTGCTTGCGGGAGCTCAGATAGCCTGGAGGGGGTCACCCAACCTCACGTTGCTACGAACCATGGTCTCTATGATGCAGCGGCAAGTCACCTGTAGCTCTATAGCCGATCCCCTTTGGGGCCAATCTGACAGTGTTCTTCCCATCGACTCACTCGGATTCAAGGACATTTACAAATCGGTCTAGATCCAAATCATGTCTGCTCGGAGTCGCACGCAGGCGCAGGAAGACCTATTATATTTCTTTCCAGGAAACAGATCGTCCACCGAACCTCAGGGGGGCTACTAACATCCTGGTAGACCACATCCCAATTCTCGATTAAGTACACGGGGAAGGGTCCATCAGTCATATGCCATGTCGGTGTGATTTTCCTCCTGTAGAATGACGGCTCTCACATACCCAGGAGAGGGGGGGGGAGAGAGACTCAGGCAGCTTGGCTTTCCATGGTGATATATATATATATATATATATATATATATAGTACTGATACCCTGTACATTTTATTTTTTTAATATTACAAACAGTCACCCACATGCAATTCACATTGAATTAAAAATCACGGTTCCCTCGACCTAACACGTAACCTATAAGTTGGGTGTAGCACATAGGAGCATCAAACAATGTGTTATTTTCCTCTTTAAATTATTTAATGGGAATATCAATTCTTCTACTTGCCTCAGTATAATTAATTTTCTCATTCCTTAGTAAAATTAATTTTCTAAAATTATTCAACCAATTAAGCTTTCCATTTAGCTATAGATCGGATTCAGCTAATTTATTTGCTCTCTACGTAGATTTCATTTTACATAGACCTTAGTTTGAGAAGGTTCTAACTAACAAATTTCAAACTAAATTTACTGAGTGAGAAGGGTTCCATGCGCGCTATTCACTAAGGAGTGGTCACCGATAGTCGATATTATCGAAAAATCTATATTTTCCTCTACTACGCACAACAGTGTATTAGACATAAAAGATGAGTATAATTTTTTTTTCTAATTATAAGCTCATAAATATTTTCTATCACTTTCCAAAATCGATAGTTTTATCTTAATTTTGAAATTAGTATATTAAATATCGAAGAGACGATATCGATAGTCGATAATATCGATGGTGAAATATCGATATTTCAATAGTAACAACTATCGATGGCTATCCCTAGAGAAGACTAAAAAGGCGTTGGATGAAAGATAAACTAATAAATTGAAGATAAACCTAAACAATTGAAACAATTGTATTTGAAGCACATTTGGTGACTTTCAACCCAAATTTGATGGGTTCAAATAAATTTTAGATAGAATAAATAGAAACAATAGAAAATATATAGAAAAAAATGTATTAATAGAGAGAATGGAGGGAATGAGAGTGGGAGAGATGATGGAATACAAAAACAGAAAAAAAAGTAAAATGAGCAATGAGAAAGTAGTTTTCATTCATTTTCTAATTCTTTCTCCTTCTTTTTGTTGTTGTTATTATTTTTATTTTCATTTTTGTTTATGTTAAATCAATAATTTCGGAACGATTTTCTTTTCCTTATATTTAGTTACTAAAGTAGTACTTTTCAAGGGCACTCTGTGTTCTTATAAATGGTGCCTTTAAGGAATATATAAGCCATTATACTTTTAAACTTTTTATTCCACATCCAATGACATTCCGAGCTGATTAGCTCATTATCAAGTCATAGCACATTTGTCTTCCACTCAATCAATAATTATAGACA